AAGGTCGTGAGTTCGGTTCCCAGTACCGGAGAAAAACCAAAAAAAAAAAAAAAAAAAAGAATAATTCTTGTGTATTCATTCCTTGAGCTGTTGGGCTGAAACCATGTCTCTTTTGGTCCCCCCACTGTGTTCTTGGTGTAATATGCAGCATATAGAATAAAACTGTGTGGATAAATAAGGCAGGCCACGGAAGCATTCTCAGAGTACATGACGTCCCACCGTTTTGCTATTCTTTTAAGTACTAATACTTAGGTAGCTATTAAGTCTCTGGTACTGTTGCTGGTGTCTCTGCGGACACAGCTTCGTTGTGCTCATCTGTTCTCTACTGAGCTCAGGACACTCAAGCCATGGTCTCCCGGGCTAGAAGCGGCAAAGCTTTTTGAAAGGACCACCTTTGCCAACAAGGGAAATAGTCTTGAGGCTTGTTGTGAGGCAAGAAACGTAAAAGTGAAGTGATAATCTCATGCTGATCTTTTGTTCTAAACAGAGATGCTGAGATGGGTGTTATCAAAATCTATTCAAATTGTCAAAGTCTGTTCAGATTGTTGCATCTAATGGGAGTGTCCCCGTCAGACTATGTGGTTTGGCTGCCCACATTTTAAGAACTCATGGTGCAGAAAGCCGAAGAGTTGATTGGATGTCACATTGTGATTCAAACAAACAGGGCACATACTGTAAGTGGGACTATAGTATAGCTGGGTTTCAGTTTTTTAATGGAGCCATTTGTGTTTAAACTTTTGTTATGAAGTATCACACAAGGAAGGTGAGCAGATACATACATAGCTCAATAAATTAGCACAAATTACTGTCCTAATCAAGAAATAGGAGATTCCCAGGAATTCCCCTTATATCTCATGTGAGTCATTATCCCTTCTTTTCCAAAGATAACTACTAGTCTAAGTTCTAAAAGTATAGTGATGGTTCTTTTGTGTATCCTTTTTTTGTCTGGATTCTTCCACACACGTTGTAAGATTTACCCATGGTGATGCACGTATCAGTTTTTTGGACATTTTTATTGCTGTGTAGTATATCTCTGTCATACACACGGGGTGCTGGGCATTTATAGCAGAGGCTTGTGTTTGCTTGCAAGTGCTCTACACTGAGCTAATCCCTAGCCTTCTTCTGTTGGTAGACATTTGTGTTGTTCCCAGTTAAGATTTTATGAATAAAACTGTTACATTTATTTTGTACCTATGTAGACACATGTACTCATTTCTGTTGGGTTTATACCCACTTGGTGTTGCAGGGCCATAGGATAGGTGTATATTTAACTGTACTGGAAATTGTGCGATTATTTTCCAAAGTGGTTGCATAATTTTGTTTTTTCACTAACAATGTTGGAATTGTTCCACAGTCTTAGCAATGTACCATATTGATCATGTTTTTAATTTGGCGTATTCTGGTGTATAGTGGTATTTAATTGTTGTTTTAATTTGCTAGTGAGACTCAGCATATTATCATGTGTTTTTCTGGTGTCTTTTGTATGTCATCTCTTCAGTTTGCTTGTTTGGTTTTTTCTCTGTTATGTTGCTCTTGTTTTTTGTTTTTTGTTTTTTTTACTGATTTATGTGAGTTTTTTATGCACTTTAAATATGGTCTCAGATATTTTCTCCTGCCCTGTGGCTTGCCTTTTCTTCCTCTTGTCTTTTGAAAACTAGGCGTTCTTAGCTTTAATTGGTCCAGCTTGTCAAGCTTTTCCTTATAGTCTTTTTAGCATCCTGTTTAAGAACATTTTTCCTACCTCAAAAGCGTGAAGATATTT